TTTCAGAGGAGTGATCATAGCGCTCTGCATCAGCAGTGCTGCGTCTGACTCCCTGCCAGCTCCCAGATCAGCTCCTCTCATTGGTTGATGTCCAGCAGCTGCAGCTTCTGAAGCACCTCAGCGGAGCAGCGTCTCATGAGTTGCTGCTCCTGCTGCTCAAAACGCGCTGCAGGAATTTTTGCTGCGCCTTGATGCGCGTCAACCATTGACTTTGCATGGAAACCAGCTGCTTCTGCTGCTTGTGATGTGAACGTAGCATTGATGACAGGGAACAAAAATACGCAGAGCAGAGACCATAACAGGAATCAAATAATTAACTGTGACCGTATCTCCAAAACAAACGTCCATCATTAAAGTTCTCCAACTTTATCCCCATTTGAAAGAGAAATGTTTTTCTCCAGTGGTTCTCTGTTTCCATGGTAATCAGGTCATCCTAAGGTCCCTGTTCTCCTTCACCAACCTGCCGGTCGCTCCATGTCTCCGCTCGGAGGTTGTTCAGGGATGCCTCCAAAGTTTCCACCTCTCTGCACAGAGGTCTAAATGTCCAAACATCAACTCGCCGCATGGTACAGTCTGGGTCAGCCTTCCAACAGTAGATAGACTCCATAACCGTGGGCATCCATGAACAGCAGCCACACCAGGTTACGTTGCCAAAACATATGTACCTGTGCCAGAAATCCTAGCAGGTGTTCTGTGGGATAGCAGGGACATTTCAGGGACATTTCAGGGACATTTCAGGGACAGTTCAGGGACAGATCAGCTGCCTCTTCTCTCCTCCCTACGGCTGGAGTCACGCGGTGAATGGCCTCCAGGCACTGAGATTTAGACGCTTCACAGTCATTTCAGCTTCATCTTACATCAAACCAAATGTTTTAAATGTTCTATGGTTGTGACGTATAGCTGCTATGTCCAATGTATTCAATAGCTGAAGCATCGACCAACCGTGTGACGTCACAGTTTGAGGTACTGGAACATGGTGGCGCCCTTACTGAAAAATTGAAAATGATTGATAATAGTGACACACAATCTG